GTGGTTATAAAGCTCCTGATTGCATTTTAAAGTACTTTTTCCTAGTTTAGAAGAAGTAAATTAAACCATAAAAAAACCCTGAAAGTGAGAATTTCACTGTCACTGGACATTCAGAGTAAGTCACAATGAACCAACAATTGTTTATTAAGTAAGTACAACGCATAGGGCACCAAGCTGGGGACAGTGGAAGTTGCGAATAAGCTCATAAACTCAAAGAGCTTGTGTTGTGTATCTTATGAAGATAATCCTAAACACTGCATTTTTGTTTATAAAGTGAAAAAAAATACAACCGTACATACTACCAAACTTAAGCAAAAGGAGACAAGACTGTTCAATGTAAAGAAAAAGAAAATTTTATCATGCAGGACCTTGAAAGGTAGGTCTAATCTGGGCAGGTAGGAAGTAGAGAAAGGCACTACCAGCAGGAGAAACAGAGAATGAAGTTTAAATACACATCACATGTTCAAAGGAACAAAGCATTATGCCAAGGGAAACACAAGAATTTGGGGCTAATGAAAGATGAGTGTGAAAAAGAACCCGATGTTGGAGAGCCTTTTAACCTTACCTGTTAGAGGCCCTGAGGATTTCTGAATGTTTAAAAAAAACAACTATAAAATTTTCTATAAGTTCCACTAGTATTGAAGAAGAAAGTTATTTTTTAACCTTTTAGTGCTAGAAACAGCTGATTATCTCACATTCATTCTATTGTACAAACAGTACTATTCAGTTCTCAAACCTCTGGAACTTCTGCCACTTGCAGTGGGTAGGAAAAAAAAAAGATCTTCAGAAAAAGGATTCCCTAAGAACTTCTGAATAATGAAACATCACCTCTGATATGGCCTCAGTAATTTTAGTACACAAATCATAATTATCAGCTCTAAGTAGAAAGCAAAGTTTCAAATACTGAAAGGAATCTCAAATTCTGAACCCACGTGTTAAACATTTTAGGATATTTTTAGAGGTAAATAAACTAGTACCAATTTCTTTGTTTTTTGCATAACATATCATCTCTTGGTTTAAGAAAGTAACTCTGTTCTTCGAAACCCTTCCCTTGGTAGAAAACTTGTTTTCCTTAATTTATATGAAAAAGGCTATAATTAGCAGCCCCCAAGCAATCACTCATTAAAAATCTCAAAACCATTGTTTCCCCTAATAAGGCAAACACCTCTATAAAACAAGAGTTGTAAGTAAATATAGAAAGGTTTAGGGAAAATACTATAAAATAATATAGCAAAATAACAAAAGGAAATTAAACATCAGCATATATAGCTCAAGAAAGAAATGTAAAAGAGAAAGAAAACCATAGAAGGAGAAAAAGAAAAGCCGCACTGGACACAGTACAGAGAATAGACTTTGCTGAAAGTATGTGAAGAGACATGGTGAGCAAAACAAGCCAATGAAATAGAAACTAATAGACAATTTAAAAGGACTTTCAACATAAGCATAATCAGCATTCTCAAAGAAAAGGAAAGTGACTCAAAAATGTTAATGTCCAATTCACTATAAATTTTGATTCAAGGACAATGGCCCATGTGAACATTTTGAAATGTGAAAGACACCAGGGAATACAGTTATGATCCCTACTAGAAGACAGACTTCAGCTAAACAGAAACTATGGCACAAGGTCTGGAAGTGGGTTTTGAATCCACATAACTGTAGAACTAAAACGAAAGAGATTGTGGTTGCCAATCATAAATGTTATACTATATATACACACTAGAAATGTAGTGTTATAAAGCCTGACAATATATATTTTTTAAAATCATACAGCCTTTATTCATGATAAAATCAATAATGCAAACATTCCCAGAGTAGTTAGGCAGCAATTCACAAACCTCCCCAAAAATATCTCATTTAGCTCTTGCGATGCTTTAGTGAATGATCCGTCAACTTATAAGCAAAATGATTCTTTGACGTCTTATGCCTCAAGTCTGTCTTTCTGAATTGGTTGTTTTGGTTGTTTGGTTGGTTTTATTGTTGTGATTGGTTGGTATGGCTTAAAAAAACTAAGGTGTAATATGGACAACTACTTCCGAAAGATACCACTCTTGATCTTTATTAGTTTCTTTAGGAAGAATATGGCAGTCAGTGAATTAAAGGTAATGAAAACTTCAGTCATTCACACCAAAGATGACTGTCTAATTAGGATTCTCCCCCTCTAGTGGTCTTCTTCTAGTGTCCTTGGATATCAGCCTTCTTCTGGGTAACTGTGGACCTAGGAAATGAACTCCATTCCCAATGGTCAATTAAGTGAAATGCTACCCCAGCTGTGCAAAAAGTGAGTGTCTAACCTAAGAAACATCATGTAATTTTGTATCCCTAACAGCCTTAGCAGCTGATTTTTTCCTTATTCTTGAAAATTGCTGGAACCACTGAAACAGAGTTGTGTGGAAGACAAACATCTCTGTGTTTTTGGCCTACTTCAATCTACACTTAGAGGAACTATTTTTCTCTCCTTATTTGGTTTCACAACTTCATTTAATACTTGTTATGCATCATTAATTCCGGTCTAGGGATTGTGATGCTAAAAATAATAAAAATGAGTGTTTAAAATGGGCACGTTCAAATAACTAAAATGCCTTCTTTGGCTGTGGTCTCCAATCTGTTTCAATCCATAATCCTAGGGAGTGTAAGATTTGTGGGCCTTTCATATGTTTATTTACAGGTTATATGCACACATGCTGCTATATTAATATAGTATATACATTATAAGGCATAATATAGAAATTCTAAAGAATTAAAGATAAAAATTTATTAACGGCAATGATTTTTGCTGTCACTAGAAATTATTAATAATAACAAAAATAATGTGATTTAATATACTTTATAATTTCCAAACATCTCAATTTAATCCTTTGTGATTGAGCAATTTGTTTCAATACTTGGTTTTAATGGCTGTCAAAGATACCTCTTGAAGATATGTGGACCTAAGTGGGAAAGGGCCTCATGACACTGAGTCTCTTGATTTATAATTCCATCCTCCAATAAGGAAAAGGTTCAGGGGTGTTTTAAGGGTTTTTAAAAATTATTATTTTATTGTTATTGCTTCCCTGCTCAGCAGGGAGTCTGCTTCTCCCTCTGACCCTCCCCCCTCTCATGTGCTCTCTCTCTCTCATTCTCGCTCTCTCAAATAAATATTTTATTGTTATTGCTAACTGAAATTCAGCTAGTATATGTCTATCTCTCCTGATATTAGTTGCTCTTGAAAGCTTATTAAAGTTATTGAATTTTTATATCTTTAGGAATTGTGTTCTAAAACCACTGAAACTTTGTAAGATTTTTTTCCCACTGGGTTAGGACATTCCACTCTCAACTTATTGAACATGCAGATGTGAAGGGTTTTAATAAGTGTCACACATCACTTTTTAAAATAGAATCACATTTCCAAACATTCATTTTCAAAAATGCTCTCCTGGAAGCACAGATTTCTTTTCAGAAGTAGTTTCTCACACATTCTTAAAACACTGCTTCTATAGGAAAGGGCTGTATTTAAGTGTATGTTTCAAAAATACACTTGAACTATGAGGTTACACCCACTGAAACTGTTTAACACATAAAGGTCAGCAAACATGGACACTTGTCTTTTGTTAAAAGAAAAATGCAGTAACAATTCTCTATTCTTTCCTTCCATGAGGAAGAAATACATTGACGCTCATTACTCATCTCATCACCAAGTGTATACAAAGATGCTACCATATTTCAAAGGTTTTGCTGTTCTAGAATCAACTAAGTAACAGCATCCTATGGCATTCTGTCTACTTCTGGCTTTAACTCCTTTGCTCTTCTTCAGCAGTGTGCTCGGTTAACTTGCTTATGAATGTTGCAGGAAAAGAACTTCGAAAAGGTCACTGTCAATGACAGAGCAACTCCTTATTTCAAATAACCTGCTTTACAATTTCTATGGAGCAGGGATGGCTTCCAGCCAGATTTCATGAAGTTATTTTTATCCCAATGGGAACATCTTCCCTATGTTCCTAGCATCCGCTCTCTCCTTCTTCCTCTCTATCAGAAACTCAGAGGACACATGACTACCCAGAGCAAAGAGGACATTTCGCAGTCTCTTCCCCCTTACAGCTACCCAGCAACTTGAAACTAGGTTTGGATCACCAGGATGGAAGTAGAAACAATGAACAGCCTTAAGAGGAAGGGAATCTCTTCTGTTCCCTTCTCTGACCTAGATGGAATCCAGATGTGATCACTGAAATCTAAGCAGCCACCTTGCAGCAAGAGGGAGATACCTGGTGTTGAGGCAGCCAGAACAGTAAGAGGAAAGGAATCTGGGTCTTTCATGACCATGTTGCCCTCAAGTCAGCCCCAGACTGCTTGTGTTCGTGTGGGAGAAATACAGTGCTGTCGTTTTTGAGTTTTGTGATTCTGGGTTTTCTGGTTCTTATCGCAATAAGGACCACTAACGGATATACCTGGGAACAGCTGAGGAAGAGCGCACACAAAGACTCAGAGAAGACTCAGCTCTGCTGTCTTATCACATCAGCACGTGCTTGCGCTATTCATACGATCTTCACTCTGCAGCTTCCTAACAGAAACTATGTTTAAGCCACTTGCCCATATTGTCAGGCGTCGTCTAAATAAAGGACATGATATAACCATTATGTCTCCTCTATCAGGGATTCATGAACTGCAACATTTATCAACAACTCTGAAAGCAAATGAACAAGGGGGCCACCATCAAGCAACCTCCACTCTTCTCTTCAGACAACTCAGGACCCATGTGTAACCTGTGTCTGATGAAACATTAATAAAGCTTCATTTTTTTTCTTGGTCAATATATACATACACAAAGAAGTTCTACTTTTCCCCCTGCTCCTCTCCCACCCTTACCAACAAATATCTATACACATCTCCCTGGTGTGCAAGCACTCCACTATCAAGGGTACAGATGGAAAAATCTGCATACATAAGTGTTCTCCATAAGACTGAAAACTTGTAAAAGCAAATGGTAAATCGAGGGGTGGGTGTATATAAAGATTTTGGTGCCTTACCTGAATACGTCCAGAACAGTCCTTTCTGATAACTTGGGAGCCACCTGCCTAAATGCTTTCTTGAAATCTTCCGAAGTTAAATACCCACGATCTATTTGACATGAAAATATAAAACATTCACTTACTTCTATAAACCCTATGAACTGTTACCTCAGCCATATTTGTGTGAGACTTTCTTACTCGAAGAAAAGCAGTAAATATAAGGTAATCTGAGATTGTCTCATCAGAAGAATTTAAGAATCAACCACCACTCTCCTTCAGTGCAGGCCCAGATGATCTCACAGGTCATTAGCCGATTCTGTGAGTACCAGGGAATGGACTGCAGACACACACTGCCATAATGGCATTAGGCTTCAAGTCTATGTGAATTGCCAAAACAATTTATTCTTCAAAATTCACTTTTTTTTTCTTGCTTGGCATTAGAATTATAATATATGAATATTTAGAGAGAAAACATCACAGCAGCGAAGATGCTGACCCTGGACTCCATGAGTCTTTCCATCCTGTGTGTGATCTATGCAGCACAGGGGGTTCAAAGCCACTTCTCTCGGCTATATCCAGTGTGAGAAAGTGCAGGTCAGAGTAGGAGTCAAAGGAAAAGGCGTTACGGTTCCCCACACCTTTGTAGGTGGCTCATGACCTCTAATCCCATGTGGCCAGCCCTTTTGCTATTCCCATTATAGTGCAGGCAAATCCTAAGTACAATTACATAACTGTAAATATTATTTTATCCATGGTAAGTGTCAAGAGTTCAAGACTGTGATAGAGAAAAAAAATTCACACCAACATCTAGGTAATAGCTAATGAATACAGTAAAATAATCTTCCAAGTATATTATTTTATTTACTGAGAGTACATAGCACCTTTTCTTAATAGCAATTTTTTTATATCAAAACAGTTTTAAAGATACTTACAGTGCCTGTCAAAAGCTGTGAAGATGTGTCTTATTTCATTCCGATGGAGTTGAACTTCCTTCTTTTTCCTAACAATACTTAAAAACTCCTCAAGCAATATACCTAAAAGTTAGAAAAAACAATTGGCTGAAAGTGACCATCTTCCTCTTTAAGAAAAAAACAAAAACATAAACGAAAAGTGATACACATCATGAACAAATTTTATCTTAGTTTTGATGAACAGTGCATATTCTTAAAGATCTATAAAGTTGAAAAGACATTTTGCAAAATGCTAAATAGACCCAACCCTAGCAATCAATAGCAGAAACAATAGGCACGGTTGGAGTTCACTGAGCTTTTCCAGGGGATAAAGGAATGGTGACCTCAAAAAAGTGTAACAGTCTTCCCTCTAAAAGATGTAACAGACAGTCCCGAAACTACTTATTAAACAAAGTGTCCTAATTTTTCTTTCCTTAGGGTTCTTTGATTCCTTTTTTCCTAGCCAGACGTCATTATGGTAGGCTTTTTTTTTTTCCGACTGGGAGATCGGGGCGAAGAAGTAGTTTCTCAAAAGTCAATACCAATTGCACAGCAGAGATAAAGGTGGAGAGAATATTCCATAAACAATAGAGCTGGCACCGTCCCCAGCCTGCGGTGCACCCCACCACTACCCTGCAGCCTCGGGCTCTGCTTCCTGTGATTCTCACAGTAAAAGAGCCCAGTGTGATCACACGAGGTTGGATACTGTGCTTACAATGTCTATGAAAATGAATTCTAATGTGATCTTTGTAGTAGGTTTAAAGAGTAGAGCCAAGAATTTAAACATTTTAGTGAACTGAGCCCCCAAAATATAAAAAGAGCAGTTCATTTTAGTAACTCAGGATTTCCATTACAAAATGGATCACTATTTTTAAAAATAGCCCCAAGTCATACAATAACCACGTGCTAATTTTTAAGAACTTGCACTTTTGGTAAGGTAATACTGAGCTGTATACCTTTCTGAAAATAGTTCCACTGGTTTTAAAAAATAACATAGAAAATAGTTTTCTTAGGGGAACTTCGTGCAATGTTGGTAGGAATGTAAACTGGTGCAGCCACTATGGAAAACAGAATTAACAGAACTAACCATCTGATCCAGCAATTCCCCATCTGGGTATTTACGCAAAGAAAGCAAAAACAGTAATCTGAAAAGATATCTGCACCCTCACGTTCACTGCAGCATTATTTATACTAGCCAAGATATGGAAGCAACCTAAGTGTCCACTGATGGATGAATGGCTAAAGAAGATGTCACACACACACACACACACACACACACACACGCGCTGGAATACTACTCAGCCATAAAAAGGAAGGAGATCTTGCCATTCTCCACAACATGGATGGACCTGGAGGGTATTATGCTAAGTGAAAGAAATCAGAGAAAAATAATATATGATTCCACATATAAAAAACAAAGCAAATGAATAAACAAAACAAAACCTGAGAGATACAGAGAACAGATCAGTAACTACCAGAGGGGAGGGGGGGAGGGAGTGGGCAAAATGGGTGAAGGGGATCAAGAGGTACAAACTTCCAGTTATAAAATAAATAGGTCATGGGAATATAACATACAGCACGGTGACTATAGTCAAGTCAATAACAATGTATTGTATATTTTAAAGTTACTAAGCGAATAGATCTTGAAAATTCTCATCATAAGAAAAAACAATTTTGTAACATCCGTATGACCACAGGTGGTAACTAGACTTATTGTGGTGATCATTTCGCAATACATACACATAAGGAATCATTTTATTAAACACCTTAAACTAATATAAAGTCATATATCAATTATAGTTTACTAAAAATAGTTTTATTTCCCAAGGTTTTCTTATTTGTAGTTAAAGGTTTAGAAACTTTAAAAGTCAATCTATCTTTATGTGTGTGGTTTTTTTTTTAAGATTTTATTTATTTATCTGACAGAGAGACACAGCGAGAGAGGGAACACAAGCAGGGGGCGTGGGAGAGGGAGAAGCAGGCTTCCCGCGGAGCGGGGAGCCTGATGCGGGGCTCAATCCCAGGACCCTGGGATCATGACCTGAGCCGAAGGCAGATGCTTAACGACTAAGCCACCCAGGTGCCCCTCTATCTTTATGTTTAAATGCTCCTTTTATGACTCTTTAGGACCCACTGTGTGCCACACAGTGTTGAGCCCTGGAAATAGAGGAGAAAAAAGAACACACAGGGTCCAGTCCCAAGGGAGCTACTGGTCTAGTGGGGGAGACAGCGATTGCCCAGGTTCAACTGCACATGTACACGTAATTATAAATCACGGCATGTGGATGAGGGAGAAAACAGGAAGTTATAAAAGGATCACAGGAATCCTCCTGCAGAGTAGATTCTGAAGGAGTACTCTCTAAGTAGAGGGAATATTTAAGATAAGACCTATGACAAGAAGGTACCAACTAGCTAAAGGTGAGGAGGAAGAACATTCCAGGAAGTGGAAAAAAAGTCAAGAAGGCAGCTGCATCTACCCTAAGCAAGAGGGCACACCTCCTAGTGCTTCCCAGAGTGCCTGGCACGTGCTCGGTAAAGCTGTGTTGTACGGAATTAGTGTATGCAGCCTTTCCCCCATCACAGCTAAAGATATGCAGGGATGCAGCTCTGTTCTCATCTCGGCACTTTGGAGACCAGAAGACATATCGAGACTGCTTGCTGAGGATAAAATTGAAGTCTAGTCATGCCACGTTCCTACAGGTTCAAATCTGTTTACTTTCATGAACACCAAAAGCTCATCGATTAGATAGCACCTAGATTAATTGAAATCCCTGAATAATATATTCACTGATCTTGGCATGCCCTACGAGACCCTTTACCATCTCGCCCCTTCTACCTTTCTGGTCTCCCTAGCAAATTTCCTGAGGCTTCCCCAAGGCAAGAGACCCTTTCGTCCCTTTGGGCACATTGCCTGGAATGCGCTTCTCCTTTTTCTCCTACTGAAAGTTTACCTCTCCTTCCCTATGCAACCAATGCATTACCTCTTCTTTGAAGTCTTCCCTGATTTCTCCCAGTTGAGTCCCTTTTCTGTGATCCAACAGCCCTCTGTTCGTAACACAAGTGATTTTCTTTTTGAATCTATTAGGTCCTATGGAAATTATTTGATCACACGTCTGCCTGAGAAGCACTGAGGGGAAGCACTGTATGTGGTTTAAAATTGTATCCCCAGTGTTTGGCATAATACCAGACACATAGTAGGCATGCAGTACATGTTTGTTGAGTAAGTACATAAAGTAATAGGAAAATGTTTATTTCTAGTTTCCAGCAAAAAGCATTAAAATGTGTGTTTTAAATGATCTCATAACTGTAAAACTAATGCCACAAGGAGGTTACTTTCGATTCACCTAGCCAGCAAAATAAACCATCATTTTAGAAACCCCAATTTCTTAATACATGATATAGTAAAAAAAAAACAAACAAAATTCAGAGAGAAAGGAAATGCATGCATAATATTTGCCCTTTACTTATCACTGCATCTGATTTAGGGAAATGATAAAAAAAAAAACAGGACAATTCCATGGTTCAACGTGTGATTCACACACACACACACACACACACACAGAAGTACATGAGTAGTAATATCTTCTAAATTACATATTCAGAAAACTTATTGGTATTTGGAGCTATAAAGCAGTTAGGTCTTTATTTCAGAAGCCTGTGGGATAAAAAGCAAATGTTCTTTAGTTTTTCCTAGGAGAAAATGTGGATTTCAACATAATGTTGACAACCACTTAAAAAGGACCACAATCTAATAACACAAATAACTTCATATATGTAATCAAGTTCTTTTACACTATTTTCCCACAGAATCATATGCCTTATTTTTTAAAGTCAATATTCCAAGGGTCATCAAGTAATATTAAGCCATGAAAACATATCCCCACTGCTCCCTCCACCCCCATGTCTTATCTTGCATGGCAACACATATCCAAGTGCAAGCCCCTTTTCTACAAAGGGTAAAGTTTCATTCAGCTTGGCTCTCACCCTCTAGTAGTACAACCACTTTCCAAAGCCAATGCATAATGGTTTGCTAAGTTTTATACACCTTGCTGCTCTTTAAGTGGCCTAGAAATACAGTTTCTACTACTAGCTCCACCTGCTGTCACAATATTCAAACCTAAAATTATCTCTTCACAAAGACTTTCAATAATTCTATTGCCATCAGATTTAACACTCAATGACAAATGCATTACCTGCATCCACCCCTGGAGTGAAAGAATATGTTCAGAAAATTCTAATTTCAAATACAACATTGGGTCTCCTATGTATATTGTTCCACTAATAACAATTACCCAAACACACTTTACTGTAGTTACACATTAGGATCATAACAACATCAGGAACCACATAGACCCAGGTGTTTATCTGAGCTTATTATTAATCTGTCTACAAAAGGTGTTCAGAAATCACCTGGGTAGTTGGACTCTATCGGTAGTTTGCAGACTTTTTTTTTTTTAGCTGTAGGAAAGGTGGTTCCTTATAAAACAAGTCTGACGTGCGGAGGAAATGAAAGCAGATTTATTTTGTTTGGAGCAAGGGGGCTTCCCCACCATTCCCTGTCCAGCAATGCCCC